GGTTTGCCTAACGCACTTTACCTCAGTATTTCACGTTAATTCGCTGTTAAGGTTAAATAAAGACTCGCCAGAGGAGCTAACTTGCATTAAAGGGCAGCAGAACGTACAAATGTGTTTCTCGGTTTAACTAAGGTTTATTTCGTCTAATATAGGTGACCTTAACTTACTCACCAGTCGATGTTATCAGCCTTTTGGCGGCATTCCGGCCGTCAGTCAGAAAAAAAGGCTCGAACTCCCGACATGAAAAATGACACGATGAATAATGTTAGGTTGCTGTTAACAAGTGAAAACATCTTAAAATATCGCAGTTTTGCATAAAACAGAAATAATATACTAACCTTTCGTCGAGTTAATGGTGCATTTCTCTTTTTTCCTTTTACAGCCACTTCCACCAAACAGTCAAAAAAGAACTCCCTTGCCATTGGTCAGTTTTTCGCGGGCAAGTTCACTACTGTAAATTGATTTACAGTAGTGAGGAAATACAGTAGTGAATGTATATTTTCCCATAATCCTTTGTGGGTTACAGTAAAATACTGTATACACATTTTACAGTATCTTATCTTATTTTCATGATCAATCATCACTATCAGTTCGAGTACACTACTCAGTGATATTTTTCTCTTTTTCTGATTGGTTAGTGCAGCATTTTGGGAGGTACCTGAGCTCTTACTGGTTAGTGTTAGGACAGCATGTCATCCAGACGGTCAAAATAAAGACCTATCAGTACTTGAAATGAAAAATTTACAAAAATGCACATCCCTAGTGTGTAATACAGTGAATACAGCAGGTTAACATCAGTACCCCCATTATCCACTACTATGCTCTTTTTTCATCCAGTGGAAACCGCGACTGGTTCAAAGAGTTCCCGCTTTCATAGTCCTTCTGATGAATGGTTGAGACTCGTTACATAGGATCCTGTAGCAAAAACAAAAAAAAAGACACTTTCATTAGTTTCTCAATTTTCATAGTTTTAGCACCGGTATAATGATGCACAATGACAAACAAAGGGAAAGGTAATGGAAAGGTATTTTCTAAGCTGAACAGCAGTAAGAAGAGAAACAAAACAAGTCAAAGTGCTATCTTGCAAGTTCATCCATCCATCTATTCACTTTCCAAACCACTTATTCTCTGTCGTGGGGACTGAAGCCTATCCCAGCATCTTGGGCCACAAATCTATCTAATTAATGGATTTTAGCAATATAAGCACTATACAGCACTGTACAGTACCTGTCAAAAGTTTGGAAACATTGCAATGTTTTAATGTTTTTGGAAAAAAAAAACCCTCTTCTGCTCACCAAGTCTGCATTTATTTAATCAAGAATACAGAGGAAATAGTAATATTGCAAAATATTCTTACAAATTAAAAGAACTGTTGTCTATTTTAATATATTTAAAATGTAATTTATTCCTTTGATCAAAGCTGAATTTTCAGCATCATTACTCCAGTCTTCAATGCCACATGATCTTTTAGAAATCATTCTAATATGCTGATTTGCTGCTTAAGAAACATTTCTTACTATTAAAACAGTTGAATGCAGTTTTTGCTTCTTAACATTTTTGTGGAAATGGGGATAAATTTTTCATGATTCTTTGTTGAATAGAAAGTTCAATGAACGGCATTTATTAAATGTATTAAATAATTTAGTAAATAGAAATCTTTTCCGACATTATAAATGCCTTCACTGTTAGTTTTGATACATTTATTGCACCCTTGATAAATAAAAGTATTAATTTATTTTCTTTTGGATCTTACCACA